CAAAAACAAAATTTTTGCCGTAAATTACTTTATGTTAATACTATGTTAACTTTTCATGTTTTAACACATTATTGTAAGACTGTAAAGGGATGGACCTCCGACCCTTAAATAGTCATGCGACGGAGGCAATAAATGGGGTCACCTTCGGAGCCTGAAAAAAAAAATATCTTAGTTCATTAAAATCTTGCCATTCTATTTTTAGTCGATAATAACTCTTACATACAGTTACTGTGAAGATTAAAGACAAAACGTTTAGATTGTTCAAACCTATATGTATATCAATGATATATGATAATAAAATTCAGATTACAATGTCATAAAATGACCAAATACAGTCCAAAAATTAGTAAATATTTAAATGAATAAATTATAAACAGCGTCAGTGTAAGTATTTTGTATTAAATTTTGTAAAACTAAAAAAAAAAATAGTTTATTTCTTATTAAGAAAATATTCAGAACAAAATAGTTGTTGTTTGAAAGGATTGACATGAACATTGGTATTATCAATACTCAAAGTGCATAATGCCTCAGAAACGAATACATATAGGGCAAATATAACTTGTTAACGGTTATTAAATTGTATGGGAGCATCCTACCTGAATTAAATGATGTAATTATTATTAAATGTAAACAAAGCAGTATTTTGACTTCCATACAAAATACTAAATCACTATAAGTATATGTGATCTTTAATTAGTATTATTGTGACCTATATGCATATCAAATTTGACATTCTTAAGGATTTATTTTTTTCTTTTATTTCTGTTACATAAAATCATATGTTGACACGATATTGAAGCCGAAGATTTTATACTAAAATATATTTAAACATTATGCATCAATCGAAAAGTTGTGGCTAAGATATTAATACTTATTTTAAAAACAAAAAATCTGATTCGTCTTTACTCAACATGGTCGTACACAGTATCGAACAAATTTAGTAAATTATTTATGTCAGGTTTATATCTAACTTACTTAGGGTTTTCGTTATGATGATGTCGTCAAATATAAACATGAGTGATAACACATTTACAGGGTTAATAGCTGAGGAAAAATAACTGTTTAGTAAAGATTTAAAAAATGCTTATTATGACCAAAACAAATTCAGGGCATTTCGTGATTTGATTTTATTTCTTATTTCAGCATGTGTAGACTCGCATAGAGAAGTAATCTTATTCGTGGAAGATGAAGGATCTGAGAGCAGGGAAGCAGCAATACATTTAGCTAAACAACTTTATACACACAGTGAGAAAAACATCGTTAAATTGTTTTATTTCACGACTCTTCATAGACAAATGAAGTTTGACATTGAGTACAGGTTATTGGAAATAAAGGTAGCACGTGTTACCCGAGAACAAGGAATAGAGGAAACTGGATGCAAGTTTAAAGCAATGGCAAGAGACTTTCTTAAACAACTGAAGTTTTACAAAAAAAAAGGAAGAAAAAACAAAAGAGCGCTAATTGTACTAGAAAACAGTATTGAATCATCAGTTGTCGCTAGCTTAGTATTGTCCAATATTTCAGAGCCATCGTTTTCAATATATCGGGTGATAAAAGATTTCAGTTCTTCACTTTATAAAGATAACAGATACAGATTTGTAAAGGATATACATATAAGTAAATGGAGTTCTCTATTTTCGATTGGATTTAGGCGATTTCCAGAAATATGTACAGGTAACTGTATTGTCAGCTTGACTCGTTAATATATGACACTGTTTTAGTTTTTTTCTTTCTCTTTGATTTAAAATATAATACCAAATGTACATTCATGACTTGACAACAATTTGTTTTCTTCTATGTCATATTTTATTTTGTCGAGACGTTTCGTTGTCTTAGGTTCGTTACCATATTAACATCGTTTTTTTTAATCATTTTTATTGATCAAATTTATTTTTGTTTTTTCCCCTGTTTGAATATGTTTTTATACTTCGGCAATATAAATTTAACCGGAATAAACTTGAAAAGCTACTATATATTTGCATAAGTAATTTTCTCTATGTTTGCATGTTGGATGCTGAAGAAAGTATAATAAATTTAACAAATAAGGAAAACCAAGAAAAACCCAGGATATAACCATGTCAACAGCTATAATGTAATCTTTGATGACGAATTGTTTTAACAAAATCACGTGTTAGGATATATTTTCTTGATATTTCCGTTTCAGAGGCTACAATCGTACCATGTGTTGGAATGTACAGATGTTCGTCTAGTAAGCAATGTATACCATTTGAGCAAGTATGTGATGATGTCATTCATTGCAAAAATGGTGATGATGAACGACTTTGTGATTCTGTATGTCCGACGAAATGTAAATGTATTGGTTATGCAATCAATTGTAATGCAGCCAACATATCAATGTCTGATATTTCGTCATTTACTATAAATGCTATAAGTCTTGATTTAAGTAAAAATCCAAAAATTAAAGAAGTACTTAAAGAAAAATTAAGTTTTCCTAACATGCAACGACTAAATATTTCATCATGTGACATTCATTTTATTCATAAAAGGGCTTTTTTTGGCTTGAAAAATTTGTTGTTATTAGATCTTAGCAACAATAGAATACAGCAATTACCTGATATGGTATTTAGCAAGCTTCGCTATCTAACCTATTTAAATCTGGACAGAAATAAAGAACTAACAATGATTTCATCGACTGCTTTTAAAGGTTTGAAATCTGTAAGAAGCTTAAAAATTTCCGGCACAAACCTGAAAAAGATAAGTTCACTTACATTCTCGGGCTTGGAGTTGGACAGTATCGACATTTCTTACAACAGAATTGAGGAAATTGAAGATTTTGCCTTCAACAACTCGCTTGTTCATAAGATTAACTTTGAAGGCAATAAAGTGATAAAATTCGGAGAATTTATATTTAACGGCGTCACATCACTTCGTGAGCTTCATACACCTGCATTTAAATTCTGCTGTATCCGACCTTGTTATCTTCCTGAAGAATACTGCAAACCATTGAAGAATGAGTTTTCTTCATGTGAAGACCTGATGAGAAACTCTGTACTTCAAGCAGTCCTTTGGATAGTTGGGTTCGCTTCATTGTTCGGAAACCTATCGTCAATTATCTACCGTCTCGTGTACGATCGTAAAAGGCTAAAAATAGGTTATGGCATATTTGTAACTAACCTTGCAGTTGCAGATTTTCTGATGGGTGTTTACCTCATCATGATAGCAGTGGCTGATTCACTCTATAGAAACAGGTATTGATAAATGACTGATTTACTACACAAAACAGGTACTAATTAATAACTGTTTCATTTTTATATAACAAGTACTGATTTATCATTCTTGCATATCAGACATGATTTTCAAGTGTTTACACCGGTGCTGGAAGACTTAAAATAACGTTATTCCTACACATATCATAAATTTGTTATATGCAAGAAAAAAGAATCAAACCACTGTCTGCCGTTGCAAACTGGAATATTTAGCCCTCTAGTAACTATTTGTCACATACTCGGCCTATTTGTCGCGTAAGTAGTAACAGTAGGGTGAACGTTTCGGTTGTCAAAAATAGCGTTTTTCGTGCGTCCGTTTTTCGTGTAACGTGCGTGCGTATATCGTGCAACGTGCGTTTGATGAAACGCTTTCTCAAGCGTGCATCGTTTACAAGCGTTTAACGTTTATAGTTTTTCGTGTATCGTTTATCGTGCGTTTGGAAGCGTGCGTTTGATACCCCCAGAAACGTTTAGCGTGCGTTTGCGCTCGTCTAAACGTTTAAGTACCGTGTTTTGTGTCTGTCACTATTCAGAACTTAAAAAATATCTTAAACAGGTCTGTTTTGTAAATTTCGGGTTTCTTATTCGAAGAATAAAAATATTATATGGAGAAATATTATTAATTGTGATATTTTTTATTTTTAAAAGTTTGTGACCTCATGGTTAATACCGGATTTCGACGTGCTTTACGTCGAAGTTTAGTTTAAATCTTTTTTTACATACGCTTAATTAGGATTTAATCACTATTTAATCTCTATTTAATCACTATTTATTTAATATTCAATTCAGCAAACATGTGTCTATATGCGTATCAATGTATCCGATATCATGTTCATCAGACTTTATATGATGGTAATCAGACTAGTCCGCCCCCTTTACCAGTTCATCTCCTGGCATTTTTTACACAGACAGTCCAAATCCTATTTAGGGCGATATTAAATTTAGACAATTCCTTACCATTTTTCATATTTCTTTTTTCTTATTTACAGATTTTTATTGATATGTAACAGCCTGGCAGGGACTCGAAGCCCTGACACTCGGAATACATGTACATTTGCCATTCCGATCGAGGCTCTTCCCGCTGAGGTATTCGGTCGCTTACACATTATTCCCCTAAATACTGAACACTTCTAAACCGTAAAATACTTCCTTGCTATATATGCAAATATGTTCTTGAATTTCCCAGGGTTGCAGAGCAATGCGAATTAAAACTCAGCGCCATATGGCAGTCAAAGGGACCCGAACTCGTGACCCTTGGATTACCGTACCGCGCGTCTCTACCGACTGAGTTGTCCGGCCGCTTACACCTTTTATGTGCTTAAAAGTGAACACCTCTTACCCATACGTTAAGATAGCTTACAAAAAACAGAGAAATTAATTCTCAATTAACACGCATTGAAAAAAACCAATATACATGCACACATTTTTTTGACAAAATTTACAATTACAATTATATTACGAGTATTATAATATTTTTACTGAAATGGGATTGTTCCATTATTTATACATGTATAGTTAAAACTTAACTAATACATTGTACCATTTCTATATTTTTGTACAAATAAAAAAGTACATAATAAATTCTACGGTGGCTGATTTGTGCCATGTTGTACTTTTGCTTTGGTAGGCACCAGACGAAAACTCAAAAATACGACTAAGTAGTTTGGTTGTATTTTTGCCCGGCCCCCATGGCACTTTGTTGTTTTTCCATGTCTTCGTAAAAAAAATGATATACAAATGTACATGAATATAACATAAATTGATATTATGATAAGTGTCCAAAAAACCGGTTCAAAATGTCCCGAAAACTGTTCTGAAGTGTCCCAAAATCTGGTTTGATGTGTCTGGTAAGAAATGTCTATTGTCTGAAATGTCCCATAACCAACTCAGCCACAATAAAATTTAATGAACTTATTCAAGAGTGCAAGGAAACACCTACTCTATTAAAAGTCTGTAATGGGATTGATTATGTTCTAACACTGAATATTGACACCAGTGTCCCTCCATAATATAAATAAGACATAAATAAATTCATTAAGTAAATCTGTCACGGGCTTAGCCAACCTTAACAATATTTCCTTTACTCTATAATAGAAAAAAAAATAAGCCAGCTTAGACTTGGTTTAAAGCTGCTCCAGATGAGCGAAAATATTTCAGAAAATCAAACCTGAGAAAAATGTACTAAGATTTTAGGAAAAGTGTAAAGATTCAAAGTTCTAATAATAATTTATATGCTATGTGCGATTAGGCCAACATTTTTTTATTAAATGTTTTACGGGACATTTTTTAAAAAAATTGGGTCGGGGGGGATAAATAAAAATAAAAATAAAATTCAATTTTTTTATCAGTCGACCACAAAATAAAAATAAAATGACAAATGAGGTGAAATTTTTTTATTTTCGAACATTTTTTTTAACACTCCAAAAACAGATTTTTTATCCATAAAATCAATGATTTTATAGTTTTGAAATATTTTTGACATGATTTTTAACAAAATAATTGAAAAAAAATGTTTTAAGTCACTTTTGCTTTTGTTTTATGTAAATATTTAATGCTGATCTAGAATTTGTATTAGTTTGTCTTTTCGCATTTAGGGCAAACATGCCACACAACTCCAAATTCATTGTTTAGTCCCTTCATTTCAAGAGTATCCAAACAAGGTTGTATTGCCACTCTCAAGCTTTACAATACTGACACAAGCTTGCAACCTGATTATAGTGATAGAACAACCAACCTATTATAAGCTTACTGATAGTTTCCTTATGGTAATCCAAATTAAGTTCCTGACAGGATTCTTATCAACAACATCACACAGGGAGAGTGATTTGAGGTCAGAAACCTTAACCATTCACAGAGGTACAAACATAATATTGTACAATGTCAGTTTCACAAGGTAAATTAAATCAACAACTTTAAATTATCTTTAAGAGAGTAAGTTATGTATGTGCAAAAAGTTTGCAATTTCTGAAAATTATTCATATTTCAAATGATTAGTAAAATGAAAGTCATTGACAGTAAATAGAAAATCAAATGGCATACATTGTTACAAAATCAGGGTTTTCTGCAGAGAATTTATTACAGGCAATTTTTTACAGAAATGTCAAAGAGGACTTATGCTCATAATCTTACATTGAAAAAAAAAGGCAAATTTTCTCAATATTGATCTAGTAAAAAACTTCTTAAAATACACATAACTACTGCCTTTAGTCTACTGGTCATGATATAATATAAACTTAATAAATGTTATAGATGACTGTGTTCAATTATAAACAAGCCTTGTATTTCAACAAGACAACAACAACAAAATCTGTCCACCAAAGAACTTTCAGGAACTTATTATTTAGGTATTATAAATTAATCAATTGTTTTCAAAGATTCATAATAAAGATTTTATATTATTATCAATTTACTAACAATAAATGTTAGATTCTACAATGTAAGTAGAACTCGTACGAGTTGAATTTCGATTTATACTCAATTTTCTCGATATGTCAAAGTAAAATGCAAGTCCAGATTTTCCCCTTATATTTTTTATAAACACCTATACATGAGTCTAAATTTTAATGTTTCAAAGTTTTCTCATGTTCCGTGGTAAATCTAGTAAATATTTCATTCTGACACCTTAGTCGATCAACGGCTTTGATCCCGTGCCCATTTAATTTTTTACAACTGATCTGAAAGTGTAGATGATTCAAATCAACTTATGCAATGGATGTTACTTCCCAGTCGTGCTTTCTAACAGCTTTGCAGGCTATCATGTGTGATAAAATGCTCTAATATTTATTCCTGAAATTGCCATAGTTGTATTGAAAGCGAACTTTCATGACCCCGCGACCTTTCATGACCCGGTGTCGCGTGATATTCACACGGGTTAATTTATTACAAGCTTGTTAAGTTATTGCCCTTCCCTTTTGTTACGCCTTTTGTAACATTCTTGTAAACAACTTGTCATTTGTTTTAAGCAAGTTCCTTTGCTTTACCAAGATCCTACAGTTAAGTACCGAGTAACTTTTAATTTTGACAGAAGTGGGTAAGAGAGGTCGGCGGACAAAATGAAAATAAAAGTTCTTAAATGAACTTTTATTTTTATTTGATTTTCTCAAAAAATACGGTCGGCGGTCCCGTAAAACATTTTATAAAAAAATGTTGGCCTTAATGACCGATTTTTCATTATTAATAACTATATTTTTACTGCGTTACTAACGCAGTAAGGGCTATTTTTGCATATTTGTCCTCTTTTTAGTAATTTACGTGTGTTGTAAGTGCCATTGATATTGTATTGATATTGTGTAAATTGCTTCCTTTTGGTTATTTCACTGAATAATACTTTTAAACACATTTTCAAAATGTTCATGAAAATAAGCATGAATCTGGAGGCGTACCACTTTAAACTTAAAATTGGGCTGTCAAATTAAGCCATTAAAGCTCCATTTATACTGTCCCGGTAATGGCCACATTATTGCTACGGTGTCTTAAACCGTTGAACCGGAGTGTTTCATGGTGTTTTTCTGAAAAATCAAATTGCCTTTACACATCTCCCACAAAGCCCAGGCCAGGTGCCTTCCTGTTTTTTTAGTACCCAATATAATACCGACTATATACGGGTAAGTGCCTATGCTAACCTGGTGTATTCCTGGTTGATCTCTTTGAGACCCGTCTACACACGGTTTCATCACCGTCCATCCCGACCATCACTGATTTCAGCACGGTTGAGCTACGGGTGATGCTGTTATTGTCCCGGGGACGCCCCGGTAATGCGCCGAAGCTTCCCTGTTCAAGTTTATTAAAACTAGAACTTGTTGACAATATAGTTTAGGAGAAATACCTAGGACAAAAATGAAATATGAAAATTAACAAAGGGCAATAACTCAAAAAAAAGGAGTGTAGAACAGCAGTTTCTGTGCACTGCACTTGTTATCAATAAGATCTATTATCCTATGAAGTTTCAAGTCCATAGCTTTTATAATTCATGAGAAATGGCCTGGACAAAAATAAAGTATGAAAATTAATAAAGGGTAATAACTCAAAAGAAAGAAGTGCAGAGTACCGGTTTTTGTACACTGCACTTTTTCTTAATGAGATCTATCATCCTATGAAGTTTCAAGTCCATAGCTTTTATACTTTATGAGAAATGGGCTTGACAAAAATGAAGTATGAAAATTAACAAAGGGCAATAACTCAAAAATTAAGAAGTACACAGTACCGGTTCTTTTGCACTGCACTTAGGGTCATTATAAGAAGTCAATCCAACTTATAATGACTGACTTGTGCTCCGGACAAGCTTAAGGGGACGCCGACTCCGACACTGAGGCAAACAACAACGCCGACAAAAGTGACCCCTATATGTTGCCTTTTTCAAGGCGAAACAATAAAACTGCTTGACGACATTTACATCAGTCATTTGGTAAAAAGAGGGAGGGCTGCAATAGAAAGGAAAGGGGAAGAAAGTTCGGAAAACTGTGCATACAATGCCTACAGAGGTTGAGGGCAGTCAGGAAAGCTTGACTCAAAAGAAATAGCAATGAATGGCCATTCTTGGTTTTCACTTAACAAAGTTATCCAAAGTAGCACTTCAAGTCCTTTAAATTGCCCGTTATCAGCATGAGGTCGTGACGCCACAGTCTATCACCAAAGATTATTTTATCACCAATCTGATGAATCCTGTTGCAGGATACCTTTAGATATGGACTAATTGAAATCAACTCTTAAGTATATTATACAGCCAGTCAGACAAAATATCCATTATTCTATTCTATTTATAATAAAGAATAATAAGAAAGTTTCTGTATAGCCTGAAAAGCACACTGCCAGTAACCTAATTGTTTATAAACACCTAAATAGGTCTGTTTGAGATAGACAGATAAGGACAAACAATTTGGTAAGCATGAGTTGCTTCCCCTTAAATTAGAGACAAACTGGAATTAATTGTTAAATACATGCATGTAACATGCTTGAGCTCCATGAGCAGTTTAGTATTTACTGTATTAATTTGAATAACTTAATATAGGGAGATTGACATATTTCTAGGGATATTTATTTTTTATTTTTGGGGAGTGCCCTTGCTTCACTGGAGCCAGATAGGTTAACAAAATTATCTCTAATCCAGGAGTTCTGCACTTAACCATTTTGGGTTGTAAATGTATATTTGAGCTAATGATTCTTTTTTTCTGTACTAATTTTGGAGGGGGTAGGAATGTGAGATGGCCTGAGATAGCTTAGATAGTACAATCCCCATATGGTTTTCTGATTGTCAGGGGTTTGATATCAGGCCAGAATGTAGAGCCATGGTGGTACATGTATATAGCTGAGACCTATTCTCTATACTCATGAATGTAATGTGGTGTTCAATATGGCAGCGATGTCACAGTATTAACTGTTCAATGATTAGGGAAAGGGATATTGAAGAAACCTTATAGCTCAGTTGGTAGAGATTTGGAATGGTATTCAAAGTGTCTATGCAAGCCTCCCAGGTTTGAGCCCCAGTCAGGCTGCACAGTTACTTTCGAAATTGCCTGTAAGGATTAATCATTTAGATTATTATAATAGCACAGGGGTATTTTCCTCTACTGAGTGTAATCAGAAACAATACAGAGTTCTCCTCCGTGACATTTAAAACAACAATGTGAAATTTACTTGGAGTTTCATACGATCACCTATTCCAGCAGGGGACTGTTATGGTATGAAACGATGGTATAAAAGTCCTATTCGCATTGTACCTATTCAAGGACGAATTTCAATAAAGCAGGGATATATGTCATGGTTCCAAACTGTCCACTATTTAAGGAGGTGATGTGTAAGCAGCCTGATAGTTCAGTTGGTTGAGCTGCAGAATAGTTTCCGAGGGTCCTGGGTTCAAGTCTCGGTAAGGCAGCATATTTTTTAAACTTGTAACAGTAACATAAAAAGGAAGGTAACATTGTACTAGGCATTTAATGTTGCTTTGTAATAATATATAGAGGATATTGAATGAGCGTAAGTTCAATACTGAATTTATTGCACAAGTTGAATAAAATTATATAACGCTAATGACGTCACGTCAAATTATATGCACGGCCGTGCAATACCATATTTACGGAGTCGCAAAATCGGCACGGGTGTGTGATAAAGCATATTAATACATACTAAGCGCATGTCAATAAATTTCAATTTTAAGTGATATGAAAAATATTTTCTGTTGCGCTGTCTTTGTAAATCCAATAACTTTACATCACAACCGGTTTCCTTATTTTCCTCACTTTTTTCCTCTCAATTACAGTTTCAGACCCAAAATAAAATTGCGTTCTTAACATTTATATATACTCATATATTGCAATACCCTAGAAATTTTACCTTTTTGGCTTGCAGCCACGGCTGCAAGCCATTTCATTTAGAAAACTGGTTCCGGTTAGGTGGTTTCCTGCTTACATCTGTTGGTGCATGATTGAACGGGAAACCAGCTGCAATCGTGCCAATCGCAACTTTTCGGCCTTTTCCGTCACTCTTCGGATTAATGATAATAGCCGATGTAGTTCCGATTGCAATCGTGACAATTCGGGCGATTCCGTCATACTGCGGAATCAGACGAAGTAATATTACGGAAATCTAAGCTATTTTAGTTACTTCAGTAATCCCAGTCTGTTTCTATAAATAGGATTTCTATTTTTACTTGATTTATCGGTTTAAACCGTAATAAATTATAAACGAAATTGTTCCGTTTCAATTGTTTTTCAAGAAGCAAAAGTTAGTTTCTTTTATAATTGTTTTTTGTCATACAATAGAGAATGGTGACTGTAGTAGTATTCCGTCTTCAAAGGGTGGTCCTGCTTACCAAATCACGCATGATCGAGTTATATTTAGATCTACTGAACGCAATTCAACTTCTTGGTGAGGTAATCTAAAAATAGCCCATGCAAATCATTAACCTTGCAACGTACTGATCATCGTCTATTTGTGATCGTGTAACATAGTTGATACATGCTTATTAATTGGTACCACGTAACGAAGTATTTTAGTGCATTTACTTGTCTAGAAAGCAAAGGAATGATTTCGCTGCGAAAAAGGGGAAATGAAATGTGCACACTTGTTTTCCTTCAGTATCACGTTAGTATTTTTACGATTGATCATTTTCTTTATTAGTTTTATACAATAGAGAATAGATTTCAAATCGTTTTGACAAAAAATATTCGGTTTTCTAAAAAAAACAAAAACCCAACTAAATGAACCCTTTATGATATACAAATACCGTAATTCAAATAAAATGTGATAATATATTGAAACCAAAACAAAAAAAAAAACAATTTTAAAGGGTTGGGATGAAGGCACAACTGTGCAAGCCTTTCCTTTTAAAAGGAAACTTTATTTGTGATTTCACTGGATTTTAGTATTGTTTATTTCTACTTTCACTTTCGTTTTGAGAAGCTTTTACTGGCGACAACACAGTAAATTATGCGGTGTCCTAATGAAACATACAGGACATCAACTTAAATCTACGTATTGTGCCAGCAATTTAATCATTTCTGATTCTGGAAGCTTTTCCCTTAATGTTATCCATTTACATTAATGTTATCCGTGGTAGAATCCTGTGTTTTAATCTGTTTTCGTGCCTTCTGTCAAAATAGTTAATTCCTTTATTTTACACTCAAGATTTTATAGTTCGATTGTTTATGATGCAGCCTCACTTAATATATAGATTTGTCTCATAAATCCATCTGAATTTAATTGTTAGCACTGTATATTTATGAAAATTTGCAATGCATTTTTCAATGTCGGCCATGTTGGACTATTACGTAGAGATTATACGTAGTGAATGCATGGGATAGTTCTTTACCCGATTGCGCATAAAAGAAACACGTTACCCTAATTATTTTACTTTCGATATTAGCGCGTGATAGCTTATACATATTTCTAAAAATCGTTTGTTGAGGCTGTGACAAAAATTAATTTTGGTGCTAGGTTGAGTGCATTTCAGTTCTAACATAAACTCGTTTAAAATACATTTCTAGCTACCATATATAATCAAAATTAATCGCTAAACGATCTACATACAGCTAAAGTTGTTAAAAACTTAATATGATTACGATATTTTAATAAGGTTTAGAAACGTTTTCATTTTGCGTGCGTTTTAGCGTGCGTATATCGTTTAGCGTATTCCGTTTAGCGTATATCGTTTTTTCCAGAACGTGCGTTTTGTGTGTAAACTGAAACGTTCACCCCACTGTATCCTCGAGCTAAATATTCTGGTTTGTACCGGCAACCGGTGAAAGGTCCTTCACTAACTGACTGCTTACTGTTCAGAAATAGAAAGAACATTTTAACTGATTATATTTAAAATCAAAATCAAATTAATTTTCTCTTATAAACAACAGGTGCTTAGTCCTAAATAATGTTAACAAAATTACTATGCCATGTTGCAGTAAACAGTTATCATTCCTTTATAATTTAGAGACAATTACTACAGATACATGAATAAGTTTACCCAAAGAAGATATTGTACACTGTACCTTCATAGTTATAGCTGTATAAATGTTACGAATGAAGTTAAATATTTATGCTTTGTTCATAACTATATCTTTTTATGCTTTTTTATCACACAATCGAGTACATATAAAAGAAAAATTGTTTACATATAATTTGAAGTATTTATATTTTCAATGAAGATATTTAAAACGTTTAAGATGATTAATTTTCCATTTTATTTTTTAATAAAACATGTTTCGATTACCTTTACATGCCAAAGGAAAGAGGTAAAAGAAAAAAATCAGTTAATAAATCTAATAGATGATGATTTTTTGTTACATAATTTAAATGCTTTTTTTCTTCTGAAATTCAAATGTTTTATTCCCATTTATTTGCAGATATATCTTTGTGGACGATCAATGGAGAAACAGTAATTGGTGTATTACTGCCGGAGTTTTGTCTACAATTTCATCGGAAGCCAGCGTCCTCTTTCTTTGCTTGATAACATTAGATAGACTTTTAGTGATCAAGTTTCCGTTTGGCACAGTGAGGTTTGGACCTATGAAGGCCTATGTCTCTTGTGCATTGTGCTGGTTCATTTCCATCATCCTATCGGTCATTCCAATTCTTTACACAAGTCACTTCCAAAACAAATTTTACTCTAGAACAGGAGTTTGTATTGCATTGCCTTTAACACGAGATAAACCTCCTGGGTGGATTTATTCTGTGTCAATCTTTGTCGGCCTGAATTTTTGTACTTTCATTCTTGTTGCTGTAGGACAAATCTCAATATTCACAGAACTTCGACGATCAACATCAGCTATGAAGAAGACAGAAATATCAAGAAGACGTGACTTGAAAGTTGCAAGAAATCTTATACTCGTTGCAACAACTGATTTCCTGTGTTGGTTTCCGATAGGTGTGATGGGTAAGATCTCATACACATGATATATGTGTTTGTATTGTCTACATCACGATTTATCATTTAAACTGAATTACGCGCGTCTAACTTCAACGATATTGCACGATATATCTACCTTTGGGTGTAAAAGCATTATTTTTCTTTTAAATTTTAAGGATTTTCTTGTTCAAATTTTAGTACAGAAATATTCTTCATTTTTTAACATGTACAGTCGACTAACGAATTCAATGGGACATTAAAATATAGTTCGTTATATCCGAAGTTCGCTAAAAGCGAAGTAGCAAAGAATTGCTGACTTGAGTGCGTAAATTTGCCCTGAAAAAGGCATACCTGTCACTGGTTACCCGTATATTTTGTATTTTACGCTGCTGTAATTTAATGCGGGTCATTTTATTGAACAATATATTATGTACTTGTCTATAAAGTGCTTACCATTTGTATTCTTTTACTATTTGTTTGTTATTGTTTGGTTAATATTGCAAACAACATATCGTTTTGGTATGCTAATTATCGAGTATTTACGGCAATTTATCAACTGAGGGTGCGAAATACAAATTTTACGTAACAAGTAGTCTCTATGCTGTGAGAATATTTTATCAAAATCTTTATTCTTACTTATGATTATCAATTGGCGGTATTCATGTATTGCATCTTAATCAAGAGCATCCCGATATTTCAATATAACAGTTTGTTAAAACCGGGGAATTTTACATGCTCTTCGCCGTTTGGGACTTGAAAAAATGGTTTGCTATACCCGAAAATTCGTTTTAAGCCAGTACGTTTTAAGCGATGTGACTTGATATCAAATCAAGAAGGAATCGACCGGGGATGTCAGATTTAGTTCGCTATTAACGATAATTCGTTATAAGCGAGTTCTTTAAAAGTGGAGTCGACTGTATGTGATTTGATAATCTATGAAATGGTCTAAAGTGTATTTAGTGCGCTTTTGAATCTAATACAATGAAAAGTACAGGTATTCCTTTTTCAGGTATTTTAGCCTTGAACGGATTTGCAATTCCTAGTGATGTTTATGCATGGTCAGCTGTTTTCATTTTACCAATAAACTCTGCTCTAAACCCGTTTTTGTATACAGTGACAGCAATAATCGGGAAAAAGGTAAACAAGTAGTTCGCTTTCCTGAAGACAAAATGTCACTTAATTATTTTTTTGAATATCTGAAATCATTATCAACTGTTTACATCGGTGCTATCTATCTTACACCCTCCCCCCACCCGTGTAAGACACGTCGCGTGTTTTAAATGGCGTATCCCGCGCGCCTTTTATTATAGATGAATTGCGTTCTTAGGATGACGTCATTTTGACGTTCATACGCTTCTATAAGAAAAAGATAAATTAAAATATATGCCTTTGTTATTTCTTTCAAGAAATGACTTATATGAAATGTGCAAGGAAAAGAGTCAAACACCGACTGTCGTAACAGATGGGAATATATTGATCTCGGAAACTTGGTTCTGCGGAAACCTGCAGGACCTCGTTACCGCTTGATATTACCGTCTGTACAGGAAGCCCGTGTAAGATTTTCAAAATCTATTTATTCATGATATAATTAATTTATCATGCCACTCGAATGTATTGAAAATTTGGGGCGGAGGGGTTTATTTTTCGAATCACAGTACCATTTGTGTAACTAAAAGTAGAAGAGCATCTGGCAAGCATAATATTGTTTTAGTCAACGAGTCAATAATTTCAGAAATGAACCTGCACGAATGTATATACAATTTATTACGTACAAACAATAAAGACTGTTAAAAAGGGTTAACTTTTCATTGACGCGCCTATAGTGCAACTCTAACATTTTGGGCGTTTTACGCTGTGTTTATGTAATGCAAATGATGTAACGTCAAAATATATACACGGTCGTGCAATTCTGTCTTTGCGATGTCGCATGAACAGCACGTGTATGTGTTGAAAAGATACATTGAGATAACTAGCTCAACAATTTATGTACGCAAAAGTGTCAAATAAATCCAAATAGTTGAATGTATCATTAGGTAAGAGGATTGTGTAATTAAAGACAGGAAAGGTGATCTTATCGTTTATCAACAGTGATAATACAATATATCTCAAGTTGTTATAAAGTGTTAGTATTACAAAATCCATTAAACTCACTACAGTGTTGGGCAAAACCTCTAGACGCTTGCAGAGAGTAGAAAAATATCGTTTTTAGCTCGACTATTCGCATAATATGGAGAGCTATTGCAGTCGCTCCGGCTTCGGTGTACACATCCGCGCTGGCGTCTGCGTTGGTTAAAGATTTTTTGTAAAGTCAAATATTTCAATTATTGCTTGAGATATTCAATTGAAACTTACAATACTTATTTATAGTAACAATGTACATCAGATTGACAAGTTGGATAACTCTGCCTACAATATTTACAGAGTTATGCCCTTTTTTAACTTAGAAATTTTGGTAAAAGTTTTTTGTTAAGTCAAATATCTCAATTATTGCATAAGATAATCAATCGAAATTTACAATACGTTTTTATAGTAACAATGTACATCAATTTGCAAAGTTGCATAATTCTGCCTGCAATATTTGCAGAATTATGTCCCTTTGAAACTTAGAAATTTTGATTAAAGGTAAAAGGTCTTAAGAACTATCAATGATATTTACTTGAAACTTTGCACATGTATCAAGGGTCATAATTGAAGGTCACATCTCAAAATCCATTACTCTGCCATGTATTGTGACAGAATTATACTCCCTTTTGTACTAAAAAATCCTTTTCTTGGTTAAGTTTTTCATGGAAGTTTTGCATATCTCTGAAACTATTAAAGATACAAATTTGAAACTTCATATATATATTTGTGGTCATAAATAATGATGACTGAACAACTCTCATATCTGTGTCATGTATTTAGGCTGATTTATCTCCCCCTTTTTTACTTAGTCTCTTGGTCAATGTTGACATGTAAGTTTTACATATCTCAATAATTACCAAAGATTTTGATTTGAAACTTAACATATGTATCAAGGATCATAATTGTATGTCAATGACCAAGTTCCATAACCCTATTCTGCATTTAGGCTGATAAATCCTCCCTTTTCTACTTAGTTTCTAGATTAATGTTTACATGCAATTTTATATATCTCAATAACTGTCAAAGATATTTATATAACATTTATGGTCATAATTGTAGATCACTGACCAAGATCCATAATTCTATCTTGCATTTATGCTAATTTTTCTCCACTTTTGAACTTTATATTTTTATTTTTCTATTTATGTAATTACATAACCTTTTAAGATAGAGCCATAATGCTTACAATGCTTGTTTACAATAATGCTCTGAGTCTGTATTCCAGAGGGTGTAACAGTGTAAATAATAATATTTACATTTTTAGTAAAGGTACCAAGTTGAAACTTAAAATTACTTAAATATTCTCTAACAAAAGTTACATAACTCTGTAGTATTTCAGGAGTTATGCTCTGGGAAAAATTAAATTTAGTACTTATTATTATTTATGCACCTTTTATACTCAATGAAACTCATGGTTAACTTTTTGCTTGTAAGCTGGTATCTCCCTAACTACTGAAGGGAATGAAATGAAAATTTACATACATTTTCACTGTGATTTTTTTACATGACTGGCACAGGTCCCATAACTCTGATTTACTTATTTACACATTTATGCCCCTTTTTATACTCAATGAAAATCCTTGTGACAACTCTATCGAATAGTCGAGCATTGCTATCTTCCGGCAGCTCTTGTTTTCGCCTATTTTTACATTTTTTATCATTATCGTATATAATTCGATGTAAAAAGATAAATGTTAAACGTCTTATGGTGCATTTGGTGGACGAAAAGGCGAGATTTAACTATAAAAGCGTGTTGTACGGTATATACCGGAATACGGTTTTTAGTGTGTTGCTCAAACATATGAAATTAAAATGTCGAAAATAAATTCATGTAGTGCTGAAGTACCTTTGTCGAATGTATTTGTTAAATTTGTAATTAATTATACCTTTTATTTACTATAATTTAATGATAAGCGTAATTAATTATACCGGTCTTCAAGTTTTAAATATTAAATAAGTGATAGTAGTGCCTTTAAAACGGACAATTAAGATGTTATATTTTTTGCAGTTGAGTAATATTTTTTTTTGAAATCAGTGTTTTACTTTGTATTTTAGAGTTTTAATCCAAGCCTTGATGAGCAGAGTCGAACAGTGGTCCAGAAAGGTAAATACTTAGCTGTAATCAAATTCACTTCTTTAATTCTTTGATTGCTTTTTTCTGGGAAGAATATTTTAAAAGTTAATAACATGCTATGGAATATCAAGACAATTAGAAAAGAAAAAACTGGTTTCGACAGATGAAAAAGAGAGACGAAAAATGTAGAACTGTAATTGTTTGTGACGTTACATATTTTCTTATCAGCGTCCAACTAAATAAGTCGTTGACTAACATGCCGTCGGAACGGGCAGTGCGTATCCAAATATTTATAAACATGGCGTTTAAAGCATCTCCTCTGAGCTTCAAAAGCCTCAAACATAAAAGTTCAATTTCCTACATAAATCAGCACAGAAAGATACACAAAAGAAAATTGAGAAATATTATCAGATAAATTTGAAAATCAGTTTGTGTGCTATTTTAAACCGATTTAAGCGAAATTCGTTGCATCGCTTTCCAAAAGTTGATTTGTTTGTGCACAAAAAAAAATATTCTAAAAACAATGGAGTATGTGAACGATCTAAACTTCTGTGCACAAGATAATGTTCTCGACCTGCATCAAATGGAACATTAATTTCGAACAATTATTTCTAATCCCGTAATGTCAAACAACCTTAGTGGAGTATCTTAAATAGTATCTTTCAAGTTTACAAATATTCGAACGATGTCAATCTGATAAACGTAGCACCACTTAGACTGTTGTTCAAACTGTTTGAAATGCAGATAACCAGTTAAAATATGATAATTGTATACATGATATAATTACAGCTGTTTCCGGCATAAATAAATTACAAGAATGTATAGTTCAATTCAACGTGTACTTTTTTTTTAGAAATTGGTAAAGCCATTTTGGAATACCAGCAATTTAGCAGATCTGTGCGGATGATAAGTGAACTTGTACCAGTTGGGACGAAACGTAGTATTCAAGAAATTCTTGATGACGACAGTTGCTTGTCAGTCAATGTTGTTGCGGCTCTGTGCAAAGAACTTGCCGATTATCTACGTCTATTGCATGAAAATTATATTGCTATAGATCAGATAAGTGAGGAAAACATTTACATTCAATTGTATAAAACAAAGGTACTTACACAATTTTATAAACGATTTCAATTTCATTTTTTACAATAGCACACTTTTCATGATTTACAATAACAAAATTAAATCAAATATCAAAACATATAAAAGAAATAGATCACTGTGATAAGGTATTGACTAAAAGCAAACAATAACAATGATAATAAAACATAGAGGAAAACGAAATAGATTTATGTTTTGTAAGTTGATGTATTGTATAATATAATTATACCAGAATTGTAGTTTTAAGTTCTTTGTGAATAAATATTTAGTACCGTTTGATTAAAAAAAGTCATCTAATCGCACAACAACGGGGAAACCATTGATATTGTCTACAGCACTCATTAACTTTTCAAATTGTATAAAATACAACTCAGTCATTTAAGTAGTGTCATTGATAATTACGTGATCAAATAGGCTTTATAGTGGCAAAACATTTAGTCACTACATGTTCACATGAATTGTTGAAATTCTTGCTTGGTGTAAAGTCAAATTGTTGAAATGTTCAGAATATTAAAAAGAAAAAGTCATTAATGATATTAAAACATCTCTTGGAGTTTATCTTATATACGTCAAAATGATGATATTTTCAATCTTTTTCGCAGAAACCCTTAATTATTTTTTGAAGCTGTTTATATATGTTTTTGTAGAAGCGTGTTCATTATTCCGCAAATGTGCTTATAATGAAGAGAAATAATATTGCGGTATATATATGCTCTTCCTCCAGTTTTCTTTAACATTTTTTCCTTTATGCAAAGCTTCACCAGCCTTTATTAGTTACACTTTTACATTTTGTCAATAGGTAAACAAACCAATTGTTGTAATCGATGCCAAAGCGTCGTTAGCTGCTGATGAAAGAGCTCGTCTGGAAAATATTCGCCAATTTGGTAGCATTCTGCGAAAACTTATTTTAAAATGTGAAAAGGGTTTAAAGTAAAGATTGGTATTCAATGAAAGGAAGTTTTCTCTGTGACGAGGCATATATACTCAGTAATATATATGAGTGAGCCAAAAATAAGTGTTGGAGCACCATACTGTTTCTACACTGTCAACAGTAGAGACATTTCATTCGTACAGGATGACGTGATAAGGAAATTAAATTACTTTTTTACTTTTTATATGCATAGAAATTTCGAATTTCAAGTGACGTATTATTTTTGTTTAAGATATCTTTGTACATAAACGTTCATTGAACCGTCATTATGTCATAAAAATTTTCATACTTAGTTGAATTATAATCGGAACAACTCGGCCTTCATCTAAAATAATGCCGGACTTAATGTAGTTCCTACAAGTGGTTTTAGATGTATTAAAGAACAGAGGGCACAGTATTTAATATAATGTAACAAATGTTTGTATTTAACATGCCAAGAAATACATAAAAGTATATTTAGGTAAAATAATGATTTAAAATATGTCTTTCAATCATAATCAATTTAAAAATGCCAACTGAAAATCAAACCCAAATTTATGTCAACAAGTTTCTACAACCATCATAATAAGTATATGAAAAATGTACTGCTTACTTTTATATCTATGAATTTACTTAATTTATGTTGATTTTTACTCGATTTATTTTGGAAAAAATAAGTCAACAACTTTTGGCATTAAATTACTATTTACTTAGCGTAGGTTAGACAGACCAACATACTGTATCCGTTCTGTCTATTCTTACTGTTGTGTTCGATCGTGTTCTTATCCGAAGTTTGACAGAAAGGGCAGAGAAGTTGCGATTGTGTCAAATTATGGTTGTTTTCATGTTTTTGAATTAAATACGTTTGTTCGGAAATTGTGGTTGCTATTTTGTCTATTTCAATGGTATTTTTACTTATACAATATTCATAAAATCGTATAAGAATCAATGTTAACCATGGGATACGTTAAAATATAAATTCATAAAATGTAAATTAGATTTATTTTGGCGATGACGTTGTCAATTTTTAATCGGTGTTTTTCAAATAGCTGAGTGATTGATGTTGTAAAACTTTCAATAATTTGTTATTTTATTAATATTTGTTATTTTATCAATATTATTAAAATTATTATGTAAAATGTTTTCATCATAGTATCAATGTTGTTTATTGTGAGTACTGTGTTTTCTTAGAATTCCATTCGAGGTTATTATCCGAAGTTTGAAAGAGCCGAGAAGGTGCAATTGTATCAAATCATTGTTTTACATTTTCTTATTAGTGTTGTATCTGTTGTTGTATATGAATAACTTGTCAGAGAGGAGGGTAGGTAGTTATTGTTGTAAAGATTAAAATACTGGCAACACTGGTTTGAGTCCTACTCGTTTGATATCAAAGTACCCCTTGTAAAACCAGTGCAAGTTAGTTATTTATTTCAAAGAGGAGAATTCGATAGCTGACAAAGAAAGAGCTCTATAGTGGAAAATATTTGATAATTTGGAAGCTTTCTTCGGAAACTTATTTCGAAATGTAAAAAAAAATTATGCGTTGTACACAAAAATTTACAATTTAAAATGCGGATTTTCAGTATAAGAATCAATAATATTGAACATTGGATACGTTACCGCTGTTAAAAGAATAATGTCATTTTTTATTATTATTTTGACGATGACGTCAATTTTTAATCGTTGTTTTCCAATAACTGTGTGAGTTATTTTGTAAAAAATTCAATCATTTGTTATTTTATTAATATTGGTTATTTTATTAATATTATTAACCTTATAATGTATAATGTTGTCATCATAGTATCAATATTCTTTATGGTGATAGTACTGTGTATTCCTACTATTGTGTTCGAGGTTTTCTTTCGAAGTTTGACGGAAAGAGCCAAGAAAATGCAATTGTTGCAAAAAGCATTGTCTTATATGTTCTTATTAGTGTTGTATCTGTTGTTGTATATGAATTATTTATCAGAGAGGAGGGGTGGTAGTTATTTTGGTGGAGATTGAAATCCTGGCAATATTGGTTCGAGTCCTTCTTGATTAATATCAATGTACCCCTTGTGAAACCAGTGCAAGTAAGTTAGTAATTTCAAAGAGGAGAATTCGTTAGCTGACAATGAAAGAGCTCTATAGAGGAAAATATCCGATAATTTGGAAACTTTTTTTTTCGAAAACTTATTTCGAAATGTAAAAAAGATTATGTGTGGTACACAAAAATTTACAATACAAAATACGGATTTTTAGTTTTAGAATCAATAATGTTGAACACGGGATACGTTACCGCTGTTAAAACAATATATTCATTAAATGTTTTTATTTTGTCGATGATGTTGTCAATTTTAAATCAGTGTTTTTCCAATAACTGTGTGACTGATGTTGTAAAAAATCAATCATTTGTTTTTTTTATTGATATTTGTTATTTTATTAATATTATTAAACTAATTATGTTAAATGTTGTCATCACAGTTTCAATGTTGTTTATTATTCAGTGAGGAGAAGTCGATAGCTGACAAAGAAGGAGCTTAATAGAGGAAAATATCAGATAATTTGGATATTTTCTCGGAACGTGAAAAGAATTATGTGTGGTTCACAAAAATTTACAATACAAAGTGCAGGTTTTTAGTATCATATATTGCTTATTTCTAATATACATGTAGTAATTTTTTATTGTCAATATCTTTATCTATATACATTTAAGGTATTGTCAAGATATTATCAATATTCTATTCAGTGTCAAATCATATTTTGATGTTTGTGGATAAAACGCTTTTACTGTTGTTTCTTCCGTTGTGTGCCATAGTTTATAATAAACAAGTTTAACTTTATATTTTTAGATGATAGATATTGCCATGGTATCTTTAAGTGGGATAAATACGCTTTTGTCTTGCTAGATATATTGTTGTAGTAATAAGTAATTCTTGATTCAGTTTAAGTGGAAAATGTACGTTTATTGACATTCGTTAAAGGCCCATTATGCCTTAGAAATGCTTTAATTTTCATTTCACAAAAGCTTTTTAATGTTAGTGCTCTTTTATAATCATATCCCAAAAAGTTTATCATAAGGATTTTACCTGAACCGTTTTGTTGGCAGTAAGATCAGTAAGAGTAAATTGGTATTTTGTATGGAAGTCAAAATTCTATTTTGTTTACATTTTGCTACTTTTATGACAAATTATTTCACATTAATGGCTAATATTCTCTGTTCATCTCTATACTCTACCATTATTTAAACATTATAAAATTCATGTTTGCCCTTTCAAAAGAATGAAATTAATTGTTCCTTAGGCAAAGTGTGCCTTAAATAAAATTTATCGAGTAAATACTGCATAATGAAAAGCACAATTTGTGAAACAATAACGTTAATAACGTTTTTACTTTACATATCCTATACTGGAAGAGAACAAACAAGATAACATTGAATACTTTACAATATTATTAGTTGTAAAACTGATTGCCACTGATTCAGACTCTAATTGCTTTTGTTTTATTCACTAAAGAGAACTTGGTGTTTTTTGTTTTGTTTTGTCTTTTTTTGTGGGGGAGTGTGTGTGTGTGCGGGGGGGTATAACTCCGGTCTATTCAAATTGTTTATTTCAAGACGATTGAGTGCATTTATGTACAAGTGGACGTAGTTGAAAGATAGTCCATTAGGGATCTTTTTGGCATATTTCTATTTTAACAGATAAAAAACATCTTAATATAACAGAGGAGATAGACTTTTATAATAGATATATATTTTTTAAACAACCAGATATTAATATACGTTTTAAATAGTGTGTGTGTTTCTAATGTTTTAACCGGCACAAAGTGTTATGTGTTGTATTTTTAGTCAATGAATTAATATAGCAAAATCATTTATAATTCCAGGTAACTATTGACGTCATAAGCAAGTAATGTTTAGTCAAATAGTTCTTTAAGGACACATTATGCCTCAGAAATAAAACAAATGTTTAATTAAAGATTAAATAGTGTTCATAATGTTTTAATAATATATTTAAAGATGTTAGATGTTAAGAAACTAAAGAAAATAGCGCTAAACGTGCAGTAATGTGCCGAAAATAAAGTTAAATGCGAACAAAGTAGTATTATGACTCCAGTAAAAAATACTCAAATATTCACTATAATTGTACACAATGCCAAAAAACAATGGAATCAAAAGATTCTTGTACTTCTATATAGTTATTTAGTAAATATTTTGAAAATGTAAAATAAATATCCTAAAATAAACAGTTTGTCAGAAATAAAAATAATAGCATTTCGGAGGCATAATGGGCCTTTAAATGGCTCTTCAATTGATCAAATTGGAAAATTTGCATTGCATTGGTATCAACAATAAATATCCAACCGTAAAATTAATTTCATATATACATACATCTATACAATACAGAATTGATGCGATAAAATATGCCATCATCAAGAGTTTTCAGGTTACAATGCTTACACGAACTAAGTTAATAATATATATATACAAAACAAACTGTAGTTATATCATGTATATTGCTAAGAATCTATGTAGTCATTTTTGTGTATTAAATATTGTTCGCAAACTGCCTTTTTTATGTTTTTACTTGAAAATGTTACCAGCCGCTTTATATAAGCCATGGAATCATCAACTGCGTTTGGATAAAAAAGTTTATTAACATTTATATACATAGAGATATATTCTATTTCATACCTTGAAAACGATAACCAATGGACCTTCATGCAGCATTTGAACCACGTGACGTAACGTTATAAGAGTTATCATTGGTTAATCCAATCAATAAACTTTCTTTTCTTTTTCCAGAGTCCAAAAATCCATATCAAATGCATATCGTTCCACATAAAGCTTCATTTATCTTAAGAATTTTCTGATTATAAATTTCTGGAAATATACGGGAGTGGCATATTAACACAATCAAGAGAAATCAACCGTGGACAACTGTCTATAAAATTGTTGAAGTAAGAACTAAGTCAGTCCGTGATTTGGACTCGTTTCGTGTAAAAGTAAATTACTTTAAAGCAGCATGCCTTAAGATTTATGCTTATTTTAATAAAAAAACTGTGCACATCATATAAACATACGCCTGTTTAAGTAGGGAGAGTTGTTATGCTCCTCTTTTAGATAACAAGTCAAACTTTAGAAAAGAAAATCTGGAAACGAAGTGATCCCTCAAAAGCATTAATTAATTAAATTTTAAATCCAAGACAAATATAAGGCTTCATTTTTGTGCTTCATTGATTGATTGTACGCCGATTATAACACGTGTTTGTCATATGTCCGCGGTAATTCAATCTCATAATTAAGTCTTACTGGGTTTCTGATAACAATTATTACCCAATTTCTCCACAAATAACCGGCTTCTTAACAACTTAAATTCAATATATCTGCTCTCTAAAACAAAAGGCCGTAGATTGGAAAAAAATGACATAGTCATTAAGTATAAATAGTGCCTGATATGATGGATTGCTTTAATGATATAAGAACACATTTTTTGCTCTTTTCAAAGCAAATTCTTAGTAAAGTGAAGCTTTAAATTGACCGACAATTTGTCAGACACGTGAGTTTAAAACATAAATTGAGTTTCCTTCCATAAGATGGCAAGAAGATATAACAAGAGGGCCATGATGGCCCTGAAATCCATCACCTGTATATAGGCCCCTGGGCCAATGCCAATTTTTAACCAGGGACTTTTATTTGAACAAATTTGGTAGACAGCCATTAGAAGATGTTTCATGATAAATGTCTAAGGTCTAACTGTTTGAGGTTTTTATCAGATATATAGGGAGAAACAATGACCCCCGCCCGGGGAGGGGCCAATTTTGACCCCAGGGCTTTTATTTAAACAAACTTGGTAGACACTAACTAGAAAATATTGCATGCCTAGTATCTAAACTCTAGTTCTTTTGGTTT